AGAGAAGGAAGGAAGGTCTAGAGGAAAAAGGGGAAAACACAGAGAGGTGTTAAGAAAACGGAACCTCCAAAAATGTAAGTACATTTTGGGACGCCCCTAAGCCGGTGGTATGTACCTAGACATTGAAAGGCAACATATGAAAACTACAAAACTAAAGATGCATCCGGGAACAGCAGCCAAGAAAGTGTCCATGCGAAGACTCTACGGCAACTGAGAGGGGAGAAGGGAGGCACATATAAATAGGAGAGAGAAACCAGCAGTAGAATGCAGCAGCACATGAGCGGCTCCGTCAGCAAGCGGGTAATGGCCCTGGTCCCGCTGGTATCTAAGAATGAAAGAAATTCAGAAAAGAACGGGAAGAGAAGGAAGAAAGGTCTAGAGGAAGAAGGAGAAAACACAGAGAGGCATTAAGAAAACGGAACCTCCAAAAATGTAAGCTACATTTTGGGACGCCCCTAACCCGGTGGTATGTACCTAGACATTGAAAGGCAACATATGAAAATAAAAGGACCGGATAACCCCACATGATAAGTTTTACAAATTTCAAATGTATATGAACATCACATGGGAGACGGAGTAGTGAGATGAAAAGTCAAGAAGGAAGTGTGAGGAGAGAAGGTATATGAGGCGGTTGTGCTAAGACGTGTAGTATAAGTGATGATGTGATGGACGAGGATGAGAAGGAGGGGAGAGAGGAGGTGTGTGTGTGTGTGGTAAGATGGCGTGCGTGTGTGTGTGTGGGTGTGTGATAAAGTGTCTGATGATGTGATGAACAAGGATGAGAGGGACGAGAGAGAGAGAGAGAGAGAGAGAAGGAGGCGGAGAGAGAAGTTTGGAGGCTCTGGATTTTGCGATCAGATCCGCATGAGACCTTCAAAACGTAACACACTCGAAACGACCATCAAAGCTATCAAGTGGTCTTATCCCGACCACGGCGGGCAGTGCTAGCAGGATGTAAAGTGGAGTGAGTGAGTGGAGTGAGTGAGTGGAGGGAGTGAGTGAGTGAGTGAGTGAGTGAGTGAGTGAGTTGTGAGTGAGTGAGTGAGTGAGTGAGTGAGTGGAGTGAGTGGAGTGAGTGGAGTGAGTGGAGTGAGTGAGTGAGTGAGCGAGCGAGTGAGTGAGTGAGCGAGTGAGCGAGTGAG